TTTGGTTCGAATCAATCCCGAATTTTTGTTTTCCGAAAATGGTTCAAACCATTATTTCTGGCTTCGAAGCAAAAATTCTAGAAGGGTAAATTTTGACAGCTCAACTATCCGTTTATCTTTATTTTTAATGGACCTTGGGGGAACCAGTTGTCTAAGCACTTTTCAAAGTCAAGTCAAAAATAATAAAATAAGGTGGAATCAAATTGGAGCATTTGTGAGGTGGCTTTGAAGGGCTAAATGGGCTTTAATTGCAAGGCTCCCAACCAACTATTAAAAGGACATCAAAAATCAGATCTGATGTATGAAGAAGGATGAACTGCTCCAGCAACACAGAAAAACAAGGTTTGTTTTTTAAAGTGTTCTGGATCTCCTTCTTCTTCTCTTCTTGTGAGCTTTTGGATTAATTATCTTACAAGGGTTTTGTATTCTTCTTGGATTGGATAATCCTTGAAGGGGTTAAGTGAGTTGAGATTCACTTGTGAAGGTTTAATCTTGCAACCGCAAGGAAGAGTTTGTTCCAGTTTAATCTTGCACCCGTAAGCAAGAGATTTCTAGTGGATTGAACTCTCGAGCAAGGAAGCTTCGGGAGTGGACGTACTCCGGATTGAAGGAGCCACTATAAATCACGACTTGATATTCTCTGCCCTTTCTTTTTATTTTTCTGCACTTTATTTGCAAGATTGCAGTTGATCTCTATTTTATTTTGCACAACAGATTATACATATATATTGAAAACTTAATTAACATTTTTATAAAGGAAAAGAAATGAGTTTTATATCTTAAGAATTGAAGGGTAGCTAGCTGGGATTACAATTGGTATCAAAGCAGGTTCTCTTAGAAATAGATTTAACAATCTTGAGTAGATCCATGGCTTTCCAAGCTCATTTTGTTGAAGGTCATTCAATCACTAGGCCACCTTACTTTGATGGAACAAATTATCAATATTGGAAAAATAGGATTCAAATATGGTTAGAAGCAAATAGCTATGAGATGTGGGATTGTATTGCTAGAGGACCATATAAAATCTTAGTTAGTGACAAGGATAACCAACTTGTTCCTAAGGATCCTGCATCATATGATCAAGTTAAAAAACAGAAACTGCAGATAAATGCTCAAGCTAAAAATGCATTATTTTGTGCTTTACATCCTAGTGAATATGATAGAATTAGTGCATGTGATTCTGCTAAGGAAATGTGGAATAAATTACAAGTGGCTCATGAAGGAACTAATGAAGTCAAGAAATCAAAAATTAACATGTTGGTTCAAAAACATGAGCTGTTCAAAATGAAATTAGATGAAGACATTAAAGACATGTTTACTCGTTTTACCAAAATCACTAGTGAATTAAAGCTTTTTGATAGGGTGCTTCCGGAGGAAGATAGGGTGCTTCTGGAGGAAGATAAGGTCAGAAAAATTCTTCGCTCCTTGCCAAAATCCTGAAGTTCAATCAAGACAACAATAGAAAAAGCTCATGATTTAAGTGCCATGACTGTTGAGATGCTGCAAGGGAAGCTTCTTACACATGAAATGGCCATGAAAAATGATGAAAGTGGATGATTCTCGAAAGAAGAAATATGTAGCTTTCAAAAGCTTCTCCAAAGATGAAAGTGACAGTGATGAAGAATTTATAGTGCTTGCTCGAAAGTTTAAGTGTTTCCTAAGGAAAGACAAGCTGAAGAATCAAGGACAACAAAAGAAAAATTACAAAAGCAGTAAAGGAGGAGAAAGCAGTAAAAAAGATGAAATTATCTGCTACAAATGTAAGAAGGTTGGACATATTAAATCTAACTGTCCAAACTATGGTGAAAAAAGTCTTAAAGCCAAAAAGGAAAAAAATGCAATGGTTGCCACATGGAGCTGCAGTGAGGACTCATCTTCTAGTAAAGAAGTAAGCGACATGGAAGCTCATATTTGTCTCATGGCAAATGATGACACAAATTAGGTAAATTCCAATTCTTCTTTTATTTTTGATCATGCTAGTGATGATGAAATGCCATATAAAGATTTGCAAGATGCATTTAGTGAATTATATGAGCATACTAAACAAATTCGTGCAAAAAATGCATCTTTAAAAAGGGAAATTTTGCCACTTAAAAAAGAAAGGTTTAAGTACCATTTTGGTCCCTCAACTTTTCACTTTGGTACCAAAATTGTCCCTCAGCTTTAAAAAGTACCAAAATTATCCTT